CAGGGCCCCCAAGATTTCCCACTTTGGGGTGATGTAAACGGGGTGATGTAAACTTTGTTTCTTGATGCCCCTTCCAGCTTTAAGAGGAACAAATTGTAGAAACAAACAAATTCATTTGGTGCCCCAAATTTCCCAATGAACTGGGCCAACAGAAGTCCAGGCTTGGATCTTACGGGGTACCTTCTCCATTTGGCAGCCAAAAGGTGGGGTTTCAAATCCAAAGCCAAACCAATCCAAACCATAGGGCTTGCCTGAATGTACGGCAACACCAGCAAGCAAAGCATTGGGGCGTCTCTAAGAAGAAACGGTCCCCAAAATGGTTGGTTTTCCATCATGTTGAGAAAAACCAAAGCCATACTGTGGATGGGCGAAATCCTGCACCACTTTGAAACCATGGGTGAACCATTGCTTGTGGATATTCTACGTAGGGGAATCGCCTCAGAAACCGAGTGGTGCGTTGGATTGATTTCGCAACCATCCACATTAGGGTAAATCATGTGTGTTTTTTCTCAAATTTCTGGTCCCCCCTAAGCATGTTAAGGCACACATGTGTTCTTACCCCTGAAAACTCCAAGCAACCTGGGGAAGTTCTCATCTTTTACAGACATCTAGCCCATGTTCCCCCCAAAAAGCTGAGAAGCTTCGTGTTTTTTAAGAGGTAAGTATTGGTTTTTCCCGCCCTGCTGAGCCCAAGGAACACCGAGCATGTAGAAAACCCAACCTGCACAGCCCACCCGACGGGCCCAAGGTGCCCAGGTGTCCACGAGGCCCAGCAGCGGCGTGGACAACTCCGACACCATGCCCGGCCAGGCGAGGGCCCAGACCTGAAGCGAGCAGATATGCAAACATATGAAATGGATAAGTATGTAAATCAGCAAACGACAAAGAAAAACATGATAAAAAAAATGAGTAAATAAATAAATAAATAAGTAAATAAATAAACAAATAAATGAATAAATAAGTGAATACATTTGCAAAATATGACATTTGTATACACATGTTACTCGCTTTCGGAGTTGGGCCTCCCCCCCAAGAAAAATCGTGGTTTGGCTTTGGCTTGGGGCCTTCTTTGACACACGCCCACCTTCTTTGACACACACCCACGTGGGTTTCGGTTTCCCGGGTGGCTTCAAGCTGAACCAACAGAAGCAATACCTTCAGGACGATTTTGCCGCTTGCAATTTATGGCCTCGAGCAATCCCAGGCCTTCCGCAAGGGCAGCGAAGCCATCCCGAGCTCCGTCTCCACGCCCATGGCGGATCGGTTGGGCTAGCGCCAAGTCTGGGTTGACCTTTTGTTGGCTATGGGAAGCCATTTGGAACCCCACAAGGTCCTTTTAGGTTTTGTCACACAGGCCAGCCAGGTGTGAAGTGGCAAAAAAAAACGGGAAAAAAGGGCGAACTTCGGCTGGGCTGGTTGGTTTGTCGCATGCAGCATTATAATGAAAGTTGTGGATATCTAGCGGGAATGGTCTTCATATACCGCAAGTCGGAGACAAATTGGTTCAACACCGTGAAAATGGTGCGCAGTATGCGCGTCTTGTCGTTCAATGGGCTCAATGTGTCATTGCAAGGCCCGATGCCTGCGGACGCTGCCGAACCTCAGAGAATTTGCCAAAGGCACGAGCCATAGGTTCCAATATGCTACTGCGGATGGACGAAATCCATTTCGCACTTGGAAACCAGGGGAGGCCATTGTTTCTTGGTATCTGCAGGGAATCAACTCCTTCCCGGGTTTCTTAGGTGGTGCGAAATGCATTCCGTCCATCCGCAGTAGGTCCCAGGGTGTCCGCTGGTGCAAAGGGGCCCATTTATTGGAACCCGTTCTGCAGGGGCCCCACATAAACAGCAACTCGGTGCGCTGGGCTCAAGCCTTTGAGGCCCAAAATGGACACGGGTCTTCAGTCAGCTTCTCCCATTGTGAGCGGCTCGCCTTTTTGGAGAAAGCCAACGCTGAAATGGCGCAACGGTCCCCGAAAAGCGGAGCCTCAAAGAAAGACGCACCCAAATAGACACACCACTGCAGGGTAGGAAGGGAGGTTTGTCGCGAACAGCAGCTAAGAACATTGATAGCATGAAAGCCAACACCGTTTGAAAACCCACCTGGTGGCTTGATGCTCCGCGTCAGCCTTTAAAACCTGCGGGTCAGCTTGCTGTTATTGGAGTGTCTATTTGGGAGGGTACCCTTTTGAGGGTTGTTCAACAGCAAGCTAAAAGCAGACCCAGTGTACGAGTTCGCCTATTTTGAGGTAGTCCAGGATGAGGCGTGTTCGAACATGAAAGCTCCCAATTCTAGACCCCAGCGCCTTTCATTGTTCTTTGCCTCGCGGGTCAACCCAAAAAGCATTTTTCACGACCCCCCAAAATGTTGTGTCTTCTTTTGGTTTCCCTTTTAAACAGGCCAAAAGGGGTACCCTCAAAAAAGGACACACCCCATGTTGACCAACCTTCACCTCAGCTTCGCGTCCATAAAAAAGACGGCCCGAAATGGGCACCCCAACTTCTCGCCGAAGCAGAAGCCGGGCACGATGTCCAGGCCGTTCTCGATGGAGAGCTTCACGAAACCCTTCCGGTCGGTCATGACAAGCTTTGTGTCCTGCCGACGCCACTGCCGTCTCTCCAATCTGTTGATTGTTTTGCTTTACTAACACCAACTGGGCTGCTCTCAGATCCCTCGCTAAAAGTTTGACTTTTAGTGGGTTAAATGGAAATTACCACTAAACACTAAAAGGCTAAAAGCTAAGGGGATGGCTGGGAGCCACCAAGCCAAAGCTTTGCAAGTGTCACTCCCTTTTTCGAACGACCATGGAAGCGGACAGGCAACAGTCGTAAAAGGGTCTGATGCTGGTTGGGACTTGGAACTCTGAAGTCTGTTTGCCTTGAGCCCCGCAAGATGACCTTTTGGGAAAATATTTGATGGCCCGGGTGAACAGGCCGTCGGCTGAGAAGGCCTGACTCAAGGTGGATTTCAAGAACCACAACAAACACCAGGAGCTTCACAATCCCACAATCCCCCCCTACCATATCTTGGCTGAAATTGGGACCCCAGCAACAAAATGCCTAGTTAGTGGAAAACAAAAGGGAATGAACAAAAAAAGTAACACGTCCCCAGGGGAAGCCAACTCTGAAAAAAGATGCCAGGAGCCGGGGGCATTCGGCGAGCTTGCTTCTGTGTGTGGGTGGGTGGGTCTCTCTCTCTCTCTCCCCTTGTTTGTGGGTAATTCCCCTGTTTGGGTGTGTTGTTTCAATGGAAAGGAAACAGATGGAAATCGGAAAGCGCCTATTTTGCGGGTCCCATTTCTTCTTGGACGAGTCCGGCAAGCCAGCTGCCCCCAGAAAACGGGCCACTGGCGCTTCCAGAAGCGTGCTGAAGCTGAAGCCCCGTAGATGCGGGTTTCATGTTGGCGGAAGGAGGCGCACGGCCAAGCCCTCCGACTTCTGCGGTCGAAAGATCCAGCCCAGATCATTTCTCACCTCTGGCCGGTGGTTTTGTGCCACGTTCGTGGGAGCCATGAGAAAGCAAGCCTTCAAGGGGCGATCGACTCGGTACGGCAGGGAAGTGGCTAGTAACCATGGCGAGATAACCCACAAAAGCCATGGGTACAAGTCTCCGTTCTAAGTGGTTAGTAAACACGGTGAAATAACCCGCCCAAGCGCCCTTTAAGTAGAGAGCAGGGTACTTAGTAGGTGGTTAGTAACTATGGTTGTAACCCACTTGCCATGGTTGCCAGTCTCCGTTCAGTGGGTTACAACCACGGATACTAACCGCTTACCTGACGTACCCAAACGCCCCTTCAAGTAGATTCCACTAGGTCCTCCAGTCGAGAGGTTAGAATAAGGGTACCCTTGTTTTCTCTGCAGTCCATTTTGGTAGGGGAACCCTCCCCCAAGAAAAGGGTAACAGGGCACTACTGGGGGACCTAGTCCATGAACGCTTCCGACTCGGAGACTCGGAGAATCTCAGAGCCGTCCTTTGAATCCCCATCTGTGAGGTTCATCTCATCGATGCCCCCCGGCAGGAGGGAGACATTTTCACCTGGCGCCAACGGGCACGGCACCGGCCCCCACGCGCCATGGGAGTGGCAATCGGCACCCGTCGGTATGAAAATGGTCTACCGGAAGCCTCAAGAAACCCTTCAACATGGGCTATTGCCCTACAATCTTGAGGTGATTTCCCTGGACCCAAATCCATGAAGGACATGAAACGGCGGATTTCCGAACCCCAATGTCGGGTTGGGACTGCCCCTTAGCCTTCATCCACCCGGGCTGTGATTTTGGCCCATGTGGATTTGGTGCGGCAAGCCAACCCCTACTCTGGATGGACGAAACCCTGTACCACTTTGAAGCAGGGGATACCATTGTTTGTTGGCAGGGGGGCCATCATTCCAGGGTTTCTCAGGTGGTGCAGGATTTCGTCCATCCAAGGTTTGCACAGATCACATAAGCCATCCTTCTGGGTAGTTTCTCCACAAGCAGCCTCAAGCTTTGGCCTTCTCCAACCCCTGGGTTTTGGGGTAGCTGGTGAACATCACAAACTGGTGTCCCTTACCAACCTGAGAAACATTGCGGGCTGGGTGCGAATCCCCAGACCCCAAAACGTTCCACTCTCTGTGCCCACAAAGTTTCTGGCGGCTTGCAAGGGTAAGGGTGCTTGATTCGGGGGTCATAGGGGATCCGTACAAGGTCCCCCCATGAAACTTGGAGGAGGTGGGAATTTCGAGATCTGGGCAGCCCGGACCTCGCTTCAAGGCACGCTCCAGGATTGGCCTGCGCGGGAAATTCCAACTGGATGTTTAGGAGGTCAGTTGTGGCGGGTGTCCTTAGGGACATATTATAGCTGGATTTGATAGATGGATTGTACATGATGATACAGCACCCACCCACAGCGACGCCAAGCTTCAGCCTGTGCCGTCAGGCGCTGCAGTCTGGCTCTCCTGTTTCCTTTTTTTGGCAGGCAACGGCTGCAATCACACTGGTGCACCAAGGAGAACCCAGCACCCGCAGCCTACTGGAAGTCGTGTAAGGTGAGCCTCTAAAACCATTCACGTACACATACATACCTATTAATATAAGCATATGTCTAAAAGTTGCTCAAGCTCGCCACAAACACTGGCGAGCCTATTTGCTTGAAGCAGCGCGGGATAAAACCTGCTAAATGGCAGTTTTTCACCATGTGGAGCCTGTGCTGAGATACAGTTTGCGTTCGCACGGCTTGCGCAGAAGCAGCATCTAGCAGCAGCCACAAGCAGCCAGCAGGAGCAGATTCGACCACTTCCATCTTTCTAGCAACCGTCTCCCTCGCAACAGTTGCCAGCGAAGCATTCCCCAGCTATTTTGAAGACTCATGCAAGTTGGCGGTGAGTTTCTTTCCGGGATTCTGCTGACAGGTCAGGCAGCAGAGGGCTCTGCAGCTATTGCGCACGCTGATCTGTCGACATTATCTCGTGAGACCTGCTTTGGCACAGTCAGGAAGGACAAGCAAAACCATAATGTTGCTTTTAACCCCGCTCAGATCGACAAGGGCACGCGGAACAACATTGGCATGCACATTGAGTTTTGCTGACATTTGCGAAGGTGAGGACAAGCGTAAGGCACATCCGGGAGTGCAGTGCCAGTGCGGACAAGGGATTCAGCGCGTCAGCAGGAACAAGGATGAACAAATTAAAACATGGGCCCTGGGCTTGTGACAATTGGCGGCTTCCTTTTGGCTTCCCTTCAAGCCCAGGTGAAAGGAGGCACCCTCAAAACAAACCACACCAACAAGTACTTAAATACCTCCCACTGAGGTCAACACTTGGAGGCATCGATGCAGCCGCTGCACAGCGACATCTCACGGATGCCTGGCTGAAGGCCAATATACCAAGGCCCTCGGCCTGAGGAAAAGCCCGAGTGGCCGCTGATTGCAAACGCACACGAATTGCATGGTCTGGCAGGGGAATCCTTTGCTTGGTTGCTGTAACGACTTCTCTGCAAGAAGTGGTTCACTTGTGGGCCCGAGTCGGAAAATTGGCCCCAGAACTTGCCAGCTTTAAGGGGCAGGGAACTTGGTTAGCCCATGTTACAACCCACTTACCATGGTTATAAGTCGCCTGAGCGGGTTATAACAGGGCTTACGAACCACTTACAAAGTTCCCGATCGCCCCTTTAAGAGGTGATACTCACTGTTCCATGTGCACCTGGTAAACCAGGGCCATCTATTCTTTTACCAAAAAAACAAAACGACACCTATGGGTCCATACGTTTGACCGTCGAGGCAAGCCTCCGAGCTGTTCAACCCGCCTGGAAGCAAGAAGGCCGCGCCAAAGCTGCCCCAGCGAGAGGTGATGCCTCTCAAAGCGGGCAGGCGGGGGAGGGGGAGGCTCTCCCCAATTCCATGTATCGAGTCCTCCCCAAAAGCGAAAAAAGCTAGCAAACACGGAATTCCAGGGGTCGCCCCCTCCCAAGAGTTAAAACCAACAGGGGGAACTATTTAACATCTTCATTTCTCGGATGCTTTCTGCTCCTGCTAAAAGTGACTAACTTTTAGTTGTTTAATGGGAAAACCCACTGGTTGGCAAAAAGTTAAAGTCCTAACATCCCTTGGCAACATGCACCAAAGATTTCAGCAAAAATGGACGTGTACAAGGGGGTCTGTCTTTTTTAGGGCTCCCCCCCTAAAATGGTTGGTTTCCTCTTGGCTTTCCTTTAAAACCAACCAAAACAGGCGCCTTCAAAAAGACGACAGACCCAAGGAAACCTTCCGGACCCGGACGGAAAATCCAACGCGCCCTGCGCCCTGCGCCTGGGAAGAGGGCGCGCCAGCAGCCCATGCCGCCCGAGAAGGCACGGCACACCCCATAGACACCTCGACTGATGGATCCGTCACATGGATCTGACGTCAAAACGCGCAGGGCCCCCGCAGAATATATCCAAGTATTCCCGCAACAAACTTGGTTGACGTTGGAAGGGGAGCAAAAAAAAGTTAAACTCTAGCAGTTAAGTGGGGATTTCCCACTAAATAACAATAAGCAAAAATGTAAAATGTTTCCCAACAACAACATGGAAAAGGGGTGTGCAAATCAACCCTTAGAAGGGGGCAACCTCGCGAACCATAATATATCAATCCGAAATCCGATTCTCCCGACCCCCTATATGACATATGACATAAGGTTCACTAGAATGGGTGGTGGTACGTTCTGCCGGATTTTTGAGGGTTGATTACAAACATTCCGAAGCAAGGAACTTGGCAAGCTCAAAAATGGATGCCAAGAGTGTCTGAAGCTTCTCGCACAAGCCGGGCAACAGGGCATTACAGTTTCCATCCGGGAAGCTGGCAACAGAAACACACATCCTGAGAAGTCGGAACCGAGGCTGTTTTTGAGGTTCGCAGTGACTGGGGCTGGTTGCAAAATCAACTTGACTAAATATGACTAAGCCTGCTTTGAAAAACAAGTCTCGTCGGCCCTCTGCATGTTATCCACCGGACCTTTGCGGTTAGCAGGTTTGACTCTTGATACGCCAAGGCTTAGCTTGCTGGTGCTCAGCAAGTAGATGTGGGAATGAAGCCACGGGTCACCTTAAAGGAAACCACAGAAAATGGATTTTCCCCGGGGTCATTCCCTCATCCCCTGCTTACCGCACCAGCAAGACAAATCTTAAGCTCCCGTGAGCCTTTCGCGCGGACTCGTGTAGGGCTCGGCCAACGGCTTCACCATGTCGGTTCCCCGGCTTTGCGACCAAGGCAACCCCAAGCACTCGCTTCAAGTCGGTACTGGTGATGCTTAAGTCCCTGCAGGATGTATTTATACACGCATGTTTGCTCGAGCTTTCGTAGCACATAAGTGCGCGAGCAATGTCAAATGAAAACACTGGCAAACACACGGATTGCGGGGCAGCACTTTGGCTTTGCACACTTTTTAGAATCGCGCCCGAGTTGCGGAAAAGTGTGCCCGAGTAGCGGGAAATCGCAGGCAACCTCAAAAAATGCTCCAATTGGATTTGAGAATGCCAAACACTGTCCGGAGCACTTTTTTGTGTATCAAAGGGTCCTTCAGGTCCGCTGGAAAAAAATATGGAGTATTTACAGTGGTGAATTCCCCTTAGAAACTAGCAACTAGCAATGGGCAATAGATCATGTATTAATTTCAGGCAATTTCAGAGCACGGCCCTGGCCTGCTTAGGTTCCGTGTTCTGGAAACAGGCTGCGAGGCATTCAACAAATATGCTCCGGCAGCTTCCCCCTAGGTTGATGGTTTGGATTGGTTTGGGGTGTTGACCCCAATTGGTGGCTTGGATTGCTGGGCCTGTCGCAAACAAACATGGGAAGCGACGTGTGTTTTGGCCACACAGCTTTCCGCTTGCGAAGGCGTGATGTGTGGCTTCCAAACTAAGCTGCCGGCCATGTGGGTACATCGCGAAGAGATATCTGCCCTGTCAGTCAAGGCAAGCCCTGCCAAACCGACTGAACAAGTTGGCCTGAACTAGGGGAAGCAGGTTGGCCCCTTGGGCATCTTTAACTTGCTCAGACCCTGTTTTTTTAACTGGGCTGTCCTCAGATCCCCGCCTAAATCCAGCATGCTTTAGCGGGTTAAATGGAACCCCCACTACCATCGAAACACAACTAAGAACCTCAGGAACCGGATGGCTCAGAACGCCAAGTTAGGCACCAGCGGGCCCTTTCAACTCAAGTCCGAAAGGCCCAAAGAGCCGGACCTTGGGGTCTGGGGCGGGCCCTTCCCGAATCACCGTGGCATCGTGGTAGTGGAGCACGAAGTCCGTCAAGGGGCCGTAGAGGAGCCTCAAGTTCGTGGCGACGTGGACGAGACCCGTTTGACTAAAGGTTTTGCAGGGGATGTCATGGGATGTCAAAAGGGAAACCAAGATTGTGGGGTCCCCGAACCTTCCAAGTATCTGTGCTCCTGGCTCTTGGTGAGGAATTGTGCGAATGACCCTTAACCAACTAACAAACCTAGAGGAACCTTCCAGGGGCCGAAACGTCGCTGTCGTGCGAAAAACCGAAGGCGGCAGGAATCGAAGGCCAGTTTCCTGAAGGCTGAAATTTCATCGCCTTGTCCCCCCAAGTGGTGACTTTTTGATCAGCTTTGTACGCTGACAGTATTGTTTTGGCGCGGAAGCAAAACCAAAAAAGACTCGGGCACAGAATTTTGGGGGGGGCGGTCTTTTTGAGGGTGCCCTTGTTGGAGTGGTTTTCACGGGAAATCCAAAGGAACACCACATATAGATGTATAAATCTGTATACGTCTGTCTGTCTCTTTCTTCTTCGTTTCTTTTTGGGGGGGAGGGGGTCCCCCTAAAAAGAGTGAGTCATACCCAATTGGTGCGCCACTTCCTGTGCGCCAAGTCTCCACTGGTAGTACCAGCCCTTGTTCAGGTGCGGCCGGTGGGCCTCGGGTCTGGTTCCCTGTGCATCAAGTTTCCCAGAGGGTTCCCCCAAGTTCCCACCGGTTCGTTGTTGGGTTTCCCAACGGAATTGTGGCTTGGATTGGTTTGGAGGTGTGCAGCTTAGGTGGCTCCGAAGTTCCCATTCACACACAAGAGCCAAGGGCTCAAATCCCCACATCCCAAGACCGGAGGGTACCCTCAAGGACACTTGCTGGTGAGATAGGGCAGGGAATTACTCGTGTTGAACCTGGAGACGCCCTCAAAGGAAAACACATCTTTCCCTGTACTTCCAATTCCTTTTTTCACCACCTGAAAGAAACAAACATGATGTGTCCAGTTGGGTAGATTCCCTTTCAACTAAAAGGTGGAACTAACATAAAGTATTAAGCACAGGTGTGTAAAACGGCAACACGCAGCCTCCAAAAGACACACCGGTTTCCGCTGTTTCTGGGGCCACGGAAGTGAACGTTTTGGATGCTGCTTCAAGCGTTTGAGCCGGGGCATCTGGGCCCCAAAGCTGTACCCCCCCGTTCTCTCTAAGTAGCCTGTAGAAGGAAACCAGCCACAATCCAAGGTAAATTGGACTGAATACAAATATGGCTCTGTCTCTTTTGAGACGATAAAAGGAAAATATAAGGAAACCAAACACCGGAATTGGCGCCTAAATTTGAGACACACCCAAGCATGGTATTACCTTGGGAGAACGCACGGCGTGCTTTTGTCGGAGCCTGCGCGCTCGCAGAAATGGGTAAACAGGGCAACAGTGCATGCGCCAGCTGAAGACAAAAGCGGGTAATTCAACTACTACCACAACTTACAGCGGTGTGATTAGATGTGGTCAGTTGATTAATGAACAAATCCGCTATGGTGAGACTTGAAATCAATATCCACGCGAATGACTGAGCTGGGTTTGCCACTGGCTCGTGAGCCAGCGGCGGGCTACAAGGCCTGTTTGGTGACCCTGGTAGAAACAGGCATCGCTTTTGAAAAGGGGACAGTTCCTCCCCTACCCATTCAACATGGAACCCCTTGTAGCGTAATCTGACAGTGCCACTCAACTGGACTCAACCACTGCAAAACCAAATCGATCCAGCCAGTTTGGGATAGGTCAAAAAATTAAACCACCAGGATATGGAATGCTGGTTTAGTCCTTGTTTCCGTTTACCAGCCATTCTGGGGTACATGTTCGACCCACCCAAATCTCCACTCACACTCATGGGAGGGGCGGCCATCCTTCATACTGTGGATGGTTGCGAAATCCATTTCGCACCACCAAAGAAACCCTGGTTGAAACCACGGTTGGTTGGTATTTTCAGGGGACTCGACTCATTCTAGGCTTTCTTGGGTGGTGCGTTGCATGGATTTCGCACCCATCCACAGCATGACCTCATTCAAGCGCTTGCCCTTGGCTTAGCCAGGCATGGAACCCACCCCCATAGCCCACGCTTAGGGGTCCACAGGAACCCCGAACCCCAGCCCCGGCGTTCCGCTGGCCTCATTTTTTACCAAAGTCACCCACGAAGTGATGGGTGAAAGGGACACAGCCCCATTTTCTGACTTTGATCGCCCCTAGAAACGGTCAAAACAATGACCCGAGTTCCGAGAGGCAAAGAGCTGCAGGGTGTAGAGGGCGGAGAAGGACCACAAAGTCTTCCAGGAAAAGGTGCCCAAAGCCCACGGAGACCTCCAGCCGGCTCGGGGGTTTGTTGATCCGGGGGAAACATTCAGTATTCGGGTTTCGGGTTTGTCTGGGAAAAGAGGTGGTGTTCCATTGGATTCCCCCCTTAAATTGAAACCAACCACCAGCGCTTTCTTCCAGACTTGTATTCCGCTTTACTCTTGTGGGTTTGGAGCCTAGTGGCTTGAAGGAGTTGGGTAGTGCTTCAAATCCATTCCACAAGGGGGCGCCGGACCTACTATACTTGTCAAAAGGCAAACCGCCTAAAACAAACCAACCAGCTCAGACTCAAACCTGGAGCCCTTGCGGCCTCATTCGGCAAAAAATCCAACAACCGCGGGTCATCTGGCGCCAGTGTTTAAGGGCGCATACTTGGTGCAGTCAATTCACCTGCCCTTGCAGGCGGCCAAAGCCGGGGAGTATGGAATCCCGCCAGCTATCTTAAAGGGGGTCAAGAAGCGTGTTGCGCGCAACGACCATGTGTTCCTTCTGTGTCAGACTTAAACGATTTGTTTCGTTGAGTTGGGAAAGTTTAACTCATTCCTTGCGATGTGTTGCAGTCTGTCCGACTCACCTTGAGACGTTCGAGGCCTGTCGTGCTTTATCGAGTCGGCCGCCCAACCTATCCTGTCACGGCAGCTGAGTCACTCAAGACGGTTTCATCGCCAAACCGCTGCTAGCCATGTTTTTGGTGGTGCTGGGTCACTCCATTGGCGGGCGTTCTGAGCAGCTTTTCCGGGTCCCTTTTCGCAATCCTCGGCGGGCTCGGATGTTTTCGCGGCGGCTTGCCCTCCTGTTGTGTTTGCACTGTGCCTGCCAGTGGGAGGTGGCTGTCTACCGAGTGGACCCAGGTTGTTGGCCAGATGATTTTTCGCGGCCATTGATTCGCTGGACTTGCAGCTGAACAGGTTGATCATGGTGGTTGGGGCCGGGGTAAGCAAGAGACCCACTCAGAAGAGTGTGTGGACTGCATCGTCAAAACAATCTGACGTCCGTGCGTCTCCTAAGCAGCCCATTGATTTGCAGTTTGGTTTTGTTTCCTTGGGTTCAATCAACAGTGGTTGGCGGTTGACCTTGTTGTAGTTGGAGATCAGCGAGATTTCCCTGACCCCTCGCAGCTTGCAGCAGATGCCTGTGATGTTTCAGAGGAGGATGATGTTGGGCTTTTTTGTTTTTGCGGACTATGATTGTTTAGTCTGAGTTCTGGGCGTGTTCAGCTGCTCAAACCTTCCGTTTCAATAGCAGCAGGCAGTCGTGAGTCGTGACATGACCCACACTCATGGGGGAAACTATTCACTTGCTGCTCTGCCTGGCAGCGCTGGCAGCGCTGCAGCTACCAATGAAAGAGGTCAGCATGAACAGTCGAAAAAAAAACAAAAACTTTACACCAAACCACTTCAGCGATCAACAACACGTTGATTGCTTTACCTGAACGGTCGATGGCCAATGGCAGAGGGAGGCCGCCAGCGGGCCGGCATCGCGCTGCCAAACGACGTGTGCTTTGTTTTCCACATTGCGGCGAGCAAATTTGTGTCCTTCTCAGCCGTTGATTCAAGATGCTCCCCCGCAAGACTACTTCTGCATGGAAGATTCGCAACTCCCCACACCTCCAACCTACCAAGCAAGGGCCGGCGGAATTTGTCCCGCATGCTGCAGGCTGATGTCTCTCAGATCAGAAGGAATTTCATTATTGAAACTGATGACGGTGAATCCTTGTCATTGGCAGCTACTGCCGCGCGGCTTCAGGTCTTAGGTGCAGAGTGTCCCCTTGCTCTGGACAATTGGCGTGAGTATGACAGCCTCTTCAGATTGCTCATGCAGGGGGCCGCTGTTCCATGGGAAACACATCAAAGGGTTGTTGGGGTTGGTGCTCTCCAACCACAGGCATCGCCATTGACAGAGATTGGCGCTTTTTTTCAGGAGTGCCGTGACGCTGTGCAATGTCAAGATGTTGCACGGGCTTTGTCAGTTCTTTCAGCGTTGCAAGCAACACTGGTTGTCACAAGTGGGCGCCAAAAGCGGGCCAAGGGGGGTTGGCAGTATTCTCCTGGACACGTTTTGCAAACGGTCCTGCTAGCTGATGAGGCCCGTGATATTTCTCGTCTGCGTGAGACAGCAGTGGCCTCATTGAGGCTTATGCTACACGAGCAACTACGCGACCACCTTTGCCAGCAGGAGTTTCGCACGCCATCAAAAAACACAGTTCTCCGAAACCGGATTTCCGTGGACCTGGCTTCCATGATTTTTTGCCGAGACTTTCTTCTGCGAGCAAACGGCCAGTTTGTGTCCCATTTGAGGATTGATGCTAGCCCGCAGTATTCCAAAGAGTATTGCGTGTGTGAGTTGGACATCGTGGGCACCGACTCGTTTGCCTTGCAACACAGTTTATTCAGAATAGCAGATGGGATTTCGGTCAGATTGCTCCCATTACAGGTCCTGGGGAACAAGGCCACCACTACCATGCACAAACTTCGCTGTTTGACATCTGCCCTTCAGTTGGAGAGCGCGTCTTTACCAGTTACTTGCTCGAACATTTACACAATACTGACCGACATGGGCGCAGAGCGTGGGTTATGGGTGGCTCCCAATGTGACGAGTGACGAAGACCACCTGTCATATGTGTTCCCGCGGCATTTGCCACTGGCAGACATGGACCACTGCCTGCACCATGACGCCCGGCTAGACTGACTCAATTGTGTGGCAATCGCTTGGGGCAACATGTTTACTGATGGAAACAAACTTGTTATCAATATGCTTTGTGTGCCCGGCACGCGCTGAGGTAATGTTGCGAATGGAGGATGGTTTTGGAAACTGGAAGGACTTTATGTTCAGGCTGAACTCCTTGTCGAAGTATTTCGGACATCGGGGAAGGTTGGACCGGTTTCGCGACTTGTTCATCGATCGGTCCGAAAATGACGCCTTTGCCAAGGACAGGGTTGTGTTCTTCAAGTCTTCAAGCATGCGGCTAGCTTTTCTGGTTTGGTCTTAGCCTGTGGCCTGCTGAAGTGAAGGTGTCCTTGCCGCAGCCTGATGAGAGGGATTTACATTGAGTTCGGGGGTGCTCTCAAAAGTCGAGCCCCTACCGCATTCATGGTTTGGCATGTGGCCAGGGGCACGGTCCACGGTGCACTTACAATTTGGTTGGAACGGCTGGGAAGTTGTGGCAGGGGAAAAAGCCGCCCCGAGGACACCCACCTTCGCGGATCCTTGAGCAAGCTCATGACAGTGGTGTGCCCTGATCTAGCAGAACACCGGTGGGAATACGTGCGCCTTGGTGTTGCGTTAGCCGCGCAGATCTTGCTTTTGAATAGAAAAGCCACCACGCTCGGCTACACCTCGGTCACACTTCGCTTACACCTTGGTTACGGTTACACCTTGATTAAACCTTCTTGTCACACCTTGGTTACACTGTTACACCTTGGTTACACCTTGGTTACACCTTGGTTATAGCTTGGTTACACCTTGGTTTGACTTGGTTACACCTTGCTTACTACCCCTGGTTACACTTTGGTTATGCGTTGGTTACACCTTGGTTACACCTTGGTTACACTTTGGTTACGCCTTGACACTTTGCTTACACCTTGATTACACCTTGGTTACACCTTGGTTACACTTTGGTTGCACCTTGGTTGCACCTTGGTGCACTTTTCTTACACCTTGGTTACACAAGGGTAACATTGGTAACATCTAGGGCACCCCTTGGTTACGCTCTGGTTACACCTTGGTTACACTTTGGTTACACTTTACACTTTGGTACACCTTAGTTGCACCTTGGTTAAACTTTGGTTACACCTTGGTTACACGTTGGTTACACTTTGGTTACACCTTGGTTACACCTTGGTTACACCTTGGTTACACCTTTGTTGCACCTTGGTTACACCTTGTAAACCTTGGTTGCACTTTTGTCACACCTTGGTCACCTTGGTTACACTTTGGCTATACTTTAGTCAGGCCTTGGTTACACTTGGGTTACACTTTGGTTGGACTTTGGTTACACGTTGGTTGCACCTTGATCACACCTTGGTTAAACCTTGGCTGCGCTTTTGTCACACCTTGGTTGCATTTTTGTCACACCTTGGTTACACCTTGGTTGCACTTGTGTCACACTTTTGTTACACCTTGGTTATACTTTGGTTACACTTTGGTTACACCTTGGTCACAGTTTGCTTACAGTTTGGTTACACACTGTTGACTCATTGTTGACACTATGACGTCAAGCCTTGGTTGCGTTGTCTAGGTCTAGGTCGCAGCGTGATTGTGGCCTGACTGTTACAATCTTACTTTCAGCATGCCCTGAAAATATGCAATTCTGTCACAGGGCCCTTCTTATCTCTTCTTCGATGTCCACAGTTTGGTCACAAGCGGCTAACTGGGTAGCTGAAGGGTCGTTACAGGTTTAAGTATTGTTTGGCAGGGCCGCCTGCGATGCAAAATGGCAGGTATGATGTGCTGAAATGGGCCTTGGACCGACGGCGATGCTTTGGATTTATGGAGCTTGGGCAGCTGCACGCGCAGGATATGTGCGCAACAGAGCTGAATTGTGTGATTTCAACCTTGGCCCCGAACCACGGGGCGGCTGTTTTCTGGGTCACTGCCGAGTACGTTTTTCTTTTGGCTTCTTGGGGGCACAAGTTGATGGGCTACTTACACGGCTGCCCATGTCACCCAACCGCAGAGTCACGAAAAGCGTTTCAACAGCAACGCCGCGCAGCGGGCCAGACGGAAGCGTGCCCCATGTCTGCACGAATGCTGGTGCCCCTAGCGCTTGGCTCTCTGGGTATGTTTCAGACAGATTTGCACCAAAGAGGCTTGCTGAAACATGACACACTCCTTGCCGCCGAGACGGCGCTTCTGCAGTTTGAGGGTGGCCAAGCAGAGTGCGCAGCAGTGGCGCTTGATTTTTTCAACGCGAAGCAGCAGATGCATTTTCGATTGCGCCTCACTTGCTCCTTTTGGACAGAGCTACCTTGGGCAATCTTCGGTGTCATGAAGCCTTGGGCAGTGTC